TGATGTTCATACTGTGGACTGCACTTCTCCTACACTCCATTCAAGACCTTTGTTATGGGTTTTACTACAATACAGAAACTAATTATAAACTTTGAAGGCATGATATGATATTACTGATCTTCAGAATTTCTGTTGTGGCTAAGCATTGCTTTTTGAATGGCAACAGATGGTTTCTATTCCTGGTCAGATTACTGGAATGGATGACGCAGTAAAAGTACAAGAAATGGTTTCTGAGAGTCTCAAAAAGACGTATAAAGGGTCGAAATCATCGTCTTCATGGACATTGACAAACGACCATCACACATCTCCTCAATTTGACTACCCTCTCCAACTCCTCACTTATATTTTTCATTCGATCTTCCCATATCACTTCAAGCAAAGTCCTCTTTTTGAAATCAAATACCTTAAAAATGTTTGTCAAGTCTCACTCTTGGGCGCTCGCTCTTGCCTGCATCTTGCCTCACGTCACCGCGCAAGAATTCAAAGACATCAACATTTACAGCACGTCGGACTGCGGCGCCAATCCGAACAACCCAGAGACCTTGTCCAAGACTCTCAGTCTTTCGCCTCGAAACGGGGATCCAGCAAAAAAGTCATCAGATTGCTTCAAGAGCTCCATCAACCTGAACGAGTGGCCCCGTAACGACGCGGGCAGCTACGACATCTGGGTCGACCCGAGCAACTTCGACGATGGGTGCCAACTCATGCTGTACCAGCTTGACATCAGAGACGATCTGAAGGCTGACGCCGCCTGCCAATCCCTCTACCGTCACGTGTCCAAAGACTTGTCCTCGTGTGCGCAGACGAGAGTGCCCGAGAACTTTGGCTTCGCGTAAGTGTGGACGAAAGCCCCAATTCTCGACTGGAACGAACATGCTAATACTGTGGCCGGTAAAGATATTGCTGCGGCGACGACTGTGACAAGCCGATTGGGCAATGGAAACGTGATGCCAGCGCCAGCGACGCCGGCCCTGCTGAAATCGCCGAGAAACCCAAGGTGCGCGATGTCACGGAGATCAAGAGGGCCGCCCCCTTCTCCGGCGCATCCAAGCGCGATGCGTGCAAGTTCGTCAAGGACGGCGACACCGCCCAGACCTTTGGCCCGCAGCAGCGCATGTCGGAAGATCTGCCCTGCGCCCCCGACCAGACTACCTGCGGATCGGATTATACGTGGACGACGGGAACGACCATCACCGATTCGTTCAACATTCAGCTGACGGTCAGCGCCGAGTTCTTCAAGGTCGTCACAGTCGAGCTCTCGGCGGGCTATGAACACTCGGTGGCTACGGAGAACTCGTATTCGGCTGCGAGGCATATCGGCATTGAGCAGGGTCACACGGGCTACATCACGTTCAGACCTCTCTATGTTTGTAAGAGCAACCACACTTTACTATTATACGAACCGCATCGTGGCATGAACTTATATACTAATTGGTTAATAGGTGCGAAGGGTCATACTGAGGGAGACTGCTCTGGTGAAGGTGTTGATCCTCTCAAGGATACATACTGGTGTGTCGCCAAGCTGCTTGCTGACGGTCACGTCGATGGCGATTGGGAAACCGTGATCATCGATTAAACTTGATTGGGTGTCTATCGAGGTGGAAGCAGACGGAAAGGGGGCTTTACCACATGCGCTGTTTTTTTTTTCGCACACTTGAGGACTCGCCGGGGGTTTTGGTATTAGTAGAGTCTGGAAGGGGGGTTGGTTCTGTGTTAGTAGAGTCCTAAGGCCGAGAATGACGACTTGGCTTGTTTTTAATTCTTGCTTTTCAGTCTATACTACATCTGCTGCGTTTGCATTTTCCCCCTCTCCTTTTGATTCTTTGTTGATCTACGCTTGATATACGCAGCAGCCATAATTAGCCGACATCATCGCTGCTTGGTTGTATATCGTAATATTTCACCTAAATGATGATTAAGCTTTAAATAAATTAGGTTCATGACTCGGGGGGGTTTCATTTTTTCTGAAATTCCCTATTGAGCACATTTGACTATATCCGGAAAAAAAAAAAAAAAGAATTGTGGCTGGCGGCACCGCAACGTGGTAACTGCCTGGTAGACGCGAGTCTGTCGTCTAGCACGCTTCCCAGGCGAAGGATAGTGGCTGCGCACAAACTCGCTCACAGATCTGTGCGGGTAAGGATCTGGCGCTTTGGAGTGAAGCAACCCCGGCAGATACGCTTAGATCATTAAATACGGACAATCTGGTGATAGCTTTTGGTTGCCGAGAGGCTGCAGACTTTCGTGTGCTGCCGCATGAGAATTATGTGCAAAATCACTAACGCAGTATGAGCCGGCTTGCGTGCTGACTTATCCAAGACGCACATAGCTTTTGCCACTCCTGCCCTCCTCCGTCCCCGTCCCGCCTCGGCTGCGCCGCGTGCCGTTTGGCCAGCGGCCTTCCATGCCCCACATATCGACCATTTCAACACGGCCTCCGGCGGTCGCATTAGCCGGAGCTAGGTGTCGGGCTCCCGCTTTCGGCGATACGTTATGGCTCATTAGTATCTCACAATACTAGAAACGTACTTCAAAACTTGTGACAATTGGCATTTTTATCCACCCTTTTCATTATTCTTCAAATGACCGGTGGAGATTGAGCAACTGAGAGCGAGTACATGTGTCATTGAAGATGTCAGATTCACCCTCATCAAAATGGTCGCACGCTGATATTACCCTATAGTAGAAAATCTAGACATCCAATGTTGACTTCTACCTTTCCTTTTGCTTGACATTTGTTCTAGTACATGGTATATATTCCATGGAGATTGGCATCGTGGGTATGTGATACAATCGCACATCCTTCACGAATACCAATGCTCTTCAAGCCCCCTAAAACCCGCGCTTCGAATGGCCAGCGGGAAATTCGGCCAGCTGGGAATTATCTCCCATCTCATGCGCAAACACGGAAACTTGTGGTTGGAATTGTTGTCGCGGGAAGTCTGGCGCCACATCTGGTGAGGCTACATGACTTTTCAAGAGGTAGGTTTGTTGACCTTGGCCGGTGCCTTCTTGCTGATAGTCAGAGCCTGGGTGTGAAGCGAGAAGCCCTGCTGACTTTGCTTCCACAAGCTGTTGCCTTGTCTTTCGCAGAAACCAAAGACTTATGATCAAAACGGCCAGAAGTGGCAAGCCGACGCCAAGTCCGACTCCCAATGCCACCTTGAGAGTTTCGGAGTTGCCATCGCCATCTTGCCCAGCTGTGGCAGCTGCCGTACTGGTAGAACTCGTGTCGGTCGTGGTGCTGCTGGCTGGGTGGAGGACATTGTTGACCGAGCTGTTACGCCGGTCATCGACCTGACCAATCGCGGAAATCGTGAACGAGTCTTCGCAGTTCGTGACGTTCATGCTGCACACCCAATTGTCGTTTTGACCGTTGCATTGCCGCAGGTCTGCCAGTTGCGCGCTCTCGGAACCCTTGAGACAGTACTGCGGGCACGCGCCGTCTTTATAAGTTGCATCGGTGCAACTGCCGCGGACGACATGATTGAAGAGTGTGTCGAGGCAAAGAGCATTTGAAAGGCAAACTTAAGAGCGAAAAGTCAGTATGAAATATTCTTGAGCGAAGTATCTCGACACGCGCTTACCATGTGTTGATTCACAGCAGGCACTTGCTGCTTTGGTGTCTGGATTGCAGGGCAGCCCCAAGGAATGCTCTGCACCGCTAGGAAAGTAACATGTCTGTTCTCCAAGTACAACACCGACTGTCCAAGCGATGATAGTGATAGTGAGGGTTTGTTGCGAGGTAAAGTACAGCATGGTTGCTTTGGCGGTCAATCACTCCCCTTCTTCGTTTGGTGACAACTCTCTTGGATCGGCCGGCGAACTTCACAGAAGGGCCAGCAGGATAGTATTTAGCTTTGAGATTGGCACATCATGGTTCCATTTTATTGCAGGCAGCCCACTCGGGATGGATTCGCAACCATGTACCTCGACCCTGGTATCTCTTTGAACACCAAAAATCCTACCGCTTTTGCCCCGCTGATTTGTATGTTAATGATTGGATGACGATATCTTCGAAGGATTTAGACATTGTGCAAATGTGGATTGAATTAAATGAAGAGCAGTTTTCCCGTCGGAAACTCAGGGGCTGATTTGTAGAAACTTCAGGGGGCGGGCAAAGAAAAAAAAAGACTCTAGGGTTCAAAGAGATAGCTCAGCCTTGCCAATGTCGGGTGAAAAATACGATACTTACCACCGGCGAGACCGCCAGCAGAAGCCTCGGAGCGGTCTGATTACCATCGTTTCTTTTGAACATGTATTAGTAGAATATATCGCAATCGAAACGGCGATAGGCTGGGTATACTAAATCATGCAGGTGCCGCTGCTTTTTGTGAGAATGCAATTGGGAAGTGCTGGCCTACGGTAATGCTAGTCTTCATTCTCGTCATTACCGTGGGAAGATGCAGTCAGCATGCTATTTTTGTTTCCCCCCTGAAGTCTGACTCAGACGGACACAAAAGAAAAGAAATTATCCATGCTTATCAACAGATCTTCGGAAATACATATGTTTTGAGTTTATAGTGGAGACCCCCTAGACTGTAGAGCCCAGTAGGGCCCTGTAAGGTGGTCCCATAGCTAGTACTGTCACGAACATGCATCCTTGTAACCCAAGACGCAGGAAGATGGAGCCAGACCAGCTGGAATGGACCAAAAATCAGTTGACAAAGTCTACAATTCCTGTTACGTGACCCAAGACAGATCCGTCACCGATAGACTAAATCCGTAAGTCTGTTCAGAATCACAGGTCTTTCAGCCTCGTCAGGCTATACGCCTAGGCGGGAGGGGGAGCTTTCTGAGTTCCTAGGTAGGCCAGGCTGGCTGGCGAATCACGTGGCACGCTCGTGGCCAGCCTCGCCGGTCACTCCCAGGCTGCACGCATCAGTGACTGTTTCTTATTTCTGGATATGACAATTGGTATGTGTGCCTCCATTTTGAGGTCTAGCTGCTGTTTTCTCAAAAAGGACGAACAAAAAAAAACGAAAAAGGACAAAAAGAATTCCTAGCTCCAGGATTCGAACCCAGACCTTCTCCCCCCGAAGGGCCAGTTTCCTGGTGACTACAGATGTGCTACCATTACACCAAGCTAGGTAGGTTTTGTTGTTGAAAACCTACCGTAAATTTGGATTTACAAGTACAGTACAGGTAAAACCGGTTACCTAATGTAATAGCAGCCTTAAAAATCACGTGTACTCACATAAGACTGTTTGTACGGCTGGGGACACTGCAGCGAGGAGCCAGGTAAGCAGAAAGCAGTCGCGCAGAGATATGCAACTTTAGCTACGCGCATGGCGATTCTGAGTACTTCTCCCATAGTGAAACACCTGCTGGATTTTCTATCGTAGGAAGTGGTGTCATAGCTATTGATCTCGGCTGAGGTAGTCGCCCCCGAACATGGCTCGCTGCTTCTATCTTCGTGGGACCACCCTCTTGCTCCCGAAGTTTCAAGCCCGCACCACGCAGAACAGCAGAAACAGGAAGCGCAGAAGTTGAGGTTTCTGCGGCGGGCAAGCTGCACCGAACAAATCTTTGACAAGCCACCGACGGGCCTACCGACACTGCTGCGTCCGTGTGGCGCCGGCTCACCTTTATGAATCAGACCATCATGCCTCTTTATGATCTCATATATAAACAAAGAAGAGATATAAGACTGTCACTTTCTTATACCACAGCCCAGAGGCTAACTTCTTTGGCATCGAGGGCGCGTTCAGTCGGCCAAGAGGTATTCAATCGAAAGACAAGCTATTCAGCTTTACAGAGGCTTCGGCATTGTAGGGCAAACTTCGAGTGTAGGCCTGAGCTCCTACCAGGAGTGATACATTGTAAACATGTGTTTGTGAGAATACTATTGAAGCCCTCCATTTCCGCCAGGTCACGAGAAAGTGTACTACTTTCGGATAACTTTATGCACTTCCCTACACGCCAGTAATAGTCTGATCCTGATCCTCCAAAATCTCTCTCATGACCTGCTGCTCTTCCTGGCTGCCGAGATCCCCGAACGCCTCATCCATTTGCTCGAGAGTCCTGTTCATGGTCTACAGAAAAGCGTTAGCGTGGTTCTCTTGTTCCAGAGCCACAATCGAAAGCATTTACCTCTGGCACGAGAAAGTAGGCCCAAGTAGCAGCCAAGCCACAGAAGCAGGCAAAGAAGACGTAGGTACCGTATCCGAGATTCTCAATCATCGGTGGAGTCACGACGCCGCTGTAATGACTTGTCAGTGGACGGAATCCATCATACACCTTGTACGAGGTATTGGTGCTTACACTGTAAAGTTTGAGATCCAGTTGACGGCAACCGCTAGTGCGACACCCTTAGAGCGGATGCCGACTGGGAATACCTCAGGCGGGAGAGCCCATCCGAGGCAAGAGTAAGAAGCACCGAAGACGATGATGAACAGGAAGGCCATGGCGACGCACGCCCAGCCGGCGCCGGTGTGGTCCTGCCAGGTTCCTTCATATATTCCCACGAGCGCTGCGATGATCACAAAGCAGGTCATATTACCGAGACCACCACCGATGGCGAGCGGTCTCCGGCCGATCTTGTCAATCAGCACAAAGGCAATACATACACCGACGATCTGTAGCGCATTGAAGATTCCGGAAAGAATGAGCGAGCTATTGTCCGACTGGCCAATGCTTCTGAAGAGTGTCGGCGCATAGTAGATGAATGCCTGGTTTCGTCAGATTGATGTCCTCAGTGTTCCTCCCTATTGCTTCTTTGAAACCCATTTTCGGACTTGGATGTTTACTCACGTTGATGCCTTGGAATTGTTGGAAGAAGCAAACGCCGACACCGACAGCAGTGCGCCTCCACCGCTCAATCGTAAAAAGGTCCAACCACTCTGCGATCTCCAGCTTGATCCCGCGCACACCGGGGTGGCGGCGCTCCAACAACACGGCTTGGAATCTTACTTCGGCCAGGATGCCGCGGTACTCCGCCTGGACCCGGTCGTCTGTGGCTGGAAGCTTCCGAAGTTTGCACAGACTTTTCAAGCAGTCTTCTTGTCGGTCCTGCATCGCAAGCCAGCGAGGCGAGTAGGGGAAGAATTGGATCATGCCACCCAGGAAGAGGGCCGAGATGATTTGTAAGGCGAAGGGCACGCGCCACGAGGCGTCGCTCTGAATGTCTTTGCACGCGTAGGCGATCCAGTAGGCGATCGTGACACCGGAAACGATGGAGACGGACTCGAGGACGAGCAGGGTTCCGCGGAGATGCGGCGGGGATACTTCTGAGATGTACTGCAGAGTAACTCATGTCAGTCAAGGTTGCTGTTTATAGAGTAGAAGAAGTAACTTACCACAGGGGCACCCAGAGCCAGTGTTCCAGTACCGATACCTCCGATTGTCCGTCCGACGACGAGCGTGGCGTAGTCATATGCTGCCGTCTGTATGATGCTGCCAATGACGAATATGATGGAGCTCAAGAGAAGAGCCTTCTTCCTGGACCACCGATCAGATATATACGGATAGAACCAGCATCCGACAAAGGCGCCAAGCAGGAGCATGCCCGTCATGAAGCCCTTGCCGAATGCCGTTTCTGCCTGCGGGATGACGGCGTGGAACTGCGGGAGCACGTTGACAATGCCCATGACACCCTGATCATAGCCAAAGGAGAAGCCGCCCAGGGAGGCCAGAAAAGCGGCAGAGAGGATGTAAGGCCCGGAAGAGAGGATCCCCTTCACGCCACTTGGTCCGTAGTGGATATCCTCACCAAGCAGATCCGAGTGGGCATGGGCTTTCATATCGGCGGGTTGCTCATTGTGTTCCACCTGGCAGTCGGCCTGAGCTTTGTCCATGGCGGACTCCATGTTGATTGGATCTGTTGAGTACTGATTATAAGTCGAAAGAGAAGCCGTCGTGACACGAAGCCGGAACCATATCTCGTGGGAAGCTTTGAGAAAAGGTCAATCAAGATGCATCTGATACTGACCCTTATATAATGGTCGCACCAGTCAGCCATCCTCCAAACACCACATGGATTATATGCAGCAGAAGTTGGTGGTTGAAGTGGGCCTTTGAGTTACGACACCCGATCATCCATCCGCATTTGGGAAATCTTCCCGCTGAACGGGCGCTAGGCGAGCCTGGGGGTGTGGAGGCGCTGGGGGTTTAGTTGAGCTGACTCAACTACCCCGTGGGGTTCAGGGTGCCATGGCATGACGCTTCTCCGCACTTTATGGAACGGCAAACGCAAATCTGGTTTAATGGTACGCTGTATTTTTGGGTCTCGAGGTCAACTAACTTGATGCCGTCCAGTCGTTTTAACTATCCCTCTCTGGATCAGCGACGTCCACGAGTTCGACACGCGGGTGCTTAGAGGCAAGAATTTCCACTCGAAGAGCACTAAGACGGCCTAGGCCAAAGTAAGGATTTTGGAAGGGCGTATGCAATGGAAGGTGTTTAGGAAGTTTTGTTGATGTACTTTAACCGTTTTAGAAAAGCGAGTAGATCTCGCAAAAGAGTTGTTTATTCTAAAATATATATAACAGGTCTATTCGGTATATTAGCTGATTTATTATAACTGGTGCACGTAAAGGATCCTGGCAACAAGGCGGCCATGCTCCCATTACAGGGATCGCCTTGCGGTATAAGGTGGGCAAAATTCCCTCTTTCGATTTTGCGACTGTCGGCCCCCTGAAGCAGGAATTCTTCCCGCCGGGCGCTAGGCATAGGAGGCTCATTAAGGTCTGGGCAGTGGACATCCTAGCACTGGGGTTTGGAGCTTAGTGGACGTCTTAACGCGTTCCTGTTTCGATCACCAACCAATCCGATACGAATGCGAGCACGAATGCCTAGGTAAGTAGTATAGGGCGATATTTTCAGTCAGCCTCCCCTCGGCTAGGCTCACTTTATAGAGACGGAGCATTCTGGACGATCGCTCGGTGAAAGCTTCGTCCGCTTGGCTGCTGGTCACCGAGTTGAGAACATTCTCGACGGCGGGGGACAAAGTGCTGGAGGCAGAGTGTCACGATCGAGGTAGGTGGTCGTTGGTTCTCATGGCTCCAATTCTCGCGGATTTCTCGAACGCTGACATCCAAGTTGGTGAGGCTACTTGAGAACATGCCAGTGTGGTCGTGTGGATCGAATGGGTCCAGACTTTGCCCCCGTCGAATATGACGGCGCGTCAGCAAGGTACTGGAATTGGCCGAAGCCTTCATACGACGTTTGTTAGGCCCTTCGTCACTCAATTGATGGTGATCATCCTCCCACAGGACCGAATCTGCATGAGAGCTGACGATTGACTCATGACAAATGCCATTTTTCAACGAGCTATTTGGTAAGTCGGGTTTGTTAGGATGTTCCTACATCGTTGCGAAGGTTTTCTGTAGTGATGGATAGTACGGCTCTCTTGGCCGGGGCCCGCAGATTCAGTCTCGCTGTCAAGCTGCTGGAATACTGTGCTGTCACTGCCGATCATCTCTCGTAACGAATTTAAGTGCTCCTCCATGGTCTGTATCATCTTCTGCGCTTTGGGTTCATCCTTGTCTTAATCCAAGTTGGCGATCTTGCTCTTGGGCAATTTGCTCAATTCTTCCTGTCTCATGGAGAGTCTGTGGTCTTGTTGAAAGACTGTCAGAAGCTCAGCTTCTTCTCGTCGCAATCTGCGAAGCTCGCGCGAGGCGTCAACGGCGATATCAGGCGCAGAGAATGGATGGAGCGGGAGAAGCAGCGCCCAGTCCCTGCCTTGGGGAAGGCACACTTAGGCATACTTGGAATGGGAACTCATGGGAAAGTAGGGGAGAATCCTTTGGCAGACTAGCTTGATCAAACTCACCTCACTCTTTTTGGTTTACCTTTGGGAATACTCCGGCCTTCACGAGACTGAATGATTTTTCTGCTGCTCGCGCTTTTGGTATCGAGTCAAGGACACGCGGTTGAGTCTCGACACGGAGGTCTCCTGAATTCCCACGCACCTAATCCACAACTCAATCCGTAAATTGATCAGACCGTCGCTTGCGTTATCCTTGTTTAGAGCCCCCCGGATGAATACGGTTCAGGCAGACCAATAATTCAGGATCTCTCCCACACTGACGTAGTGGTACCCACCGCAGGTCACCTGCTCGGGTATGTCAGGCTTCTCTTCAACACCT